ATATATACACTAAAGTTCGGACCCAGTTCTCAAAACAAAAACCTGTTGTTATAATCAAAGTCTGTGGCTACAACAATTTATAACTCGCTGTATGTTATAAGGATTTCATCAGATTCACGAATCTAAATTTTGTTTTCCAATTTGCAATATCTGTAAGCGCAGCAATCACCACGGCGCAAAATAGCAGTGCCAGGAGAAGACCTAACATACTGATTTACCGGAACGCCGGCACCGGTAGATCAACAATTTCGTTATACTTTACAATCAAACCTCAGGATAAATTAGTACCGAGTTCGAACTAATGGTGAAATTTAAGAAGACCTTGAACTAATTTTACTATCATAGAGATTTTTTAATTACCTTAAAGTAACGTGATTGTGTAGATATATTTTCACACTGTATACAGAGGCGAAGTCATAATTTTAAGCTTATGGGTTCGTGATTATAATCATTTTAAGTTATTGGGTTCTAAATTAATAATTTGTACATATTTAATAAAATTTTTAAAATAAATACATAATTTAAACCAAAACTACTAGATTTGGCCGAACCCATAGCCGAAGCCGTGGCTCCGCGTGTAACTGTATGCACATAGTACTGTTAAGTCATGTAAAAAATTAGCCAAATACTGTAACTATCTATAATACCTGAGATTAGTTACTTAAAAAATAAGGTAAGTAGCTTATAACAACATGTTAAAAACGGGTAAATAGTCCCTTTTAGGCCGACTATTAAAGTTTGATCACCTTTTTAACTGTACTGGCAAAGTAGTCACTCAAAAATGCCCACATAAGAACTCTAACAATTGGTGCTGGATTTCACACATTCTATAAGTGAAAACTCCCACATAATATTCTAGAGTTGCAAAAACTCAAAAACTCTATACAGGTGTAATCCCAAATACACAGTCTTAGACTTCATAGCTTTTAATTATAAAATTTTAGCACACTGTACTGGAGTTCAAAACCTTCGTAGGTTCAAACACCAGCAATGGATACTGGGATTAAACCTTTATAGGTTCAAACCCCACCAACGATTACCGGGTTCAAACCTTTATAGGTTCAAACCCCAAAACGATTATTGGGGTTTGAATCCTTCTCACATTGTTTCACTCAAAGATAACTTGTTTTAAACTCCATGACGCAATCATGGAGTTCTTAGTTCCACAAGTTGAAACTATAGGATATTATCCTTGAGTTTATAAGAGGTACCATAGGTAAAACAATCCTTTTAGATTCAAATCGTAGAAATAATTAATGGTTTCAAACCTTTATAGGTTCAAATCCCAACAACAATTATAAGGTTTGAATCCTCTTCACTTCACCCATGAAGGTTTAAACACAATTATTTTGAAATACTCCAGAAACCATTCCCGGACTACTAACTCCACTACCGAGTGCTGGAGTTGTGTTCCGTATTTTAGTTGGGGCGAACGGCTATTTTGTCATTACAATTTAAAATATGGCCAAACTCTAATAGCCGAAGTGGCCAGCACAACTAATTTTTCCTTTAAAAACATTTGACAATGTAAAACTTTATTTACGCTGGTAAGTTAAATCCTACCTGTAATCGCCGACACCCACTTCTTAATTATTTTCATGTTTTATAGATTCTTCAAAACATGAATCTCATATACCAGAAGTTGTACACATACAATCACCTGTAATGTTTTCTAGCCAACACTTTGAACCATTTACTTTGAAAATTAGACCTTTTGTCTAACATAAAAGCGTATAAATAAGTAAAATACTCTTTATCCAAACAAGTTTTCTGGCAGTAAAAGAAAGCAAGCTGCAAATAACTTAAAATGGGTAAATTCCAGATGACATAGACGGATCCAATCTGCCCATTAAATTAGGGAATTGTTGTGCCTCCATTTCGAGCTGTATACTGTCAATACTGGTTTCCACAACTGGAGCTGAAGAAGAAATTGCGGAGTAATTCAAAGTACTGTTATTATCACTTGGAGTATAGTGATAATGAAAATGATCAGTCAGTTGGCCTAAAGGAGACATGAAACGTAGAGGTGGGATTTGAGGATTCACGAGACCGTAAAATCTGTTGCTGTTGAATGAACCAGAATTGTTAGTAGTAGCTTTAAGGCCATCATTCTTAGCGCTAGAAGCTGGAGACTTGGAGGTATTATTATTATTATTATTGTTATTGTTGCTATTGCTTAGTTTATTCCTTCGATGACGACGGCCACCCTCAGGGACGCTTCTCAGAACACCATCTTTCGTCCAATGTCTGTTAAGACATAATATAATTAAATAATTAATTAAAAGTGTAGTTAGACTTTTGGATGAGTTTTTCACGCATTAATATACCTTTTGCAAGTCTTGCAGAAGTACCGAGGCTGTGAGAGGCTATAGTTGTTGAAATAACAAAATTTGGTGTTTGTTGATTCACAACGAGGGCATTTTAAAGCGACCAAGGGCATTCGTATGTTGGCTAACCTGGCTTGTTCGGGCATGGATCTAGGGCAGGTGGAACCTGCAGTATAGGCAGATGGAGTATATAATAATCAATGAGTTCAGGTGAACCGAGCATTTTCAACACTGAGCAAAAGAAATACTATACGTGAAAAGTTAATAAATATCAAGAATTAATAAATTATGTACTCATAAATAAAAAATATATAATGGGATCAGTGATTAAAGCAACGTGTCCATTTTAAATATTAAATCTGCCTCTCACCTGCCGCACCTACATAGGTTGCGATGGCGGTGGAGGTGGTGGTAGTGGTGGCGGTGCAGGCTCTAATTGTGTTGATAGAAACTGAAGATTTGCGCTGCTACTTCCATCGTTCTAAAAAAAGAGAAAGACCAATAGAAAAGCAAAAACTGAGATATCAAGTATATGCAACAATTTAAAAAAAAGGTTCAAAATTAAAAGGTGAGAGGAATATTAGTCTTTATATAATTCTATACTTTTCGGTAAAGAATTAAGCTATGGGAAAAAGAAGCAAACTGTTGAAGGAAAAATCAAAACCTGTTGCCAATTGGCTGGAATTAGATATGCTGGATTGGAGGAAAAACCCATTGTTGCTTATCTATAGTTCTCTTTCGTAAAATTAGAAGGGTACTTTCCGTTTATATACTGTTAGGCCCTCCTTTGTAATCATTTCTTATTTTATTCCTTTTTAGAAATTCGAAAGGGTAATCTTATCTTACATAATCTTTAAGCTTTTCAGGTAACTTGAGCAGCACCACTAGTCCACTATTTGTCTCCAGAATGTGATGGCTGTCATCTGCCATGACGTTGTTGCATGCATGGAAAAAATAGTGAATGTTGATGTCATTCAGGAGATAGGGTGATAACGTCTAATGGTAGGGCAATATTGTAGGTTTGTGAATAACGTTTCACATTAAAAGTTTATAATCAAGAGAAGTTGGATATATATATATATATATATATATATATATATATATATATAAAAGGTCTAGTGACACTTTTAATGTGATGCCTTTTGAGCAAAACTATATGGTTTTGACCTAGAGTGAATATTATCACACCATGGCTTATATTAGCACGGCAACTACAAAGTGATGACATGGGTTCGACTTAATATTTTTAGCAAAAAGCTAGTAATTTTAACACTGATAATCAAACATTAACCACTATTTTAAAAAGCGACCTTATTATATATTTAGTCGCTAGCTCTTTTGACATGGAAAAATAGTTGGACAAACATATTTCTAACTAAAATATGAAAACACTACAAGAACTGTCAAATTCCATGAGTTGCTCCTGAAGTTTGAAATGTGTAGTTCTAACTCCAAGAATAATTTATGGAGTTTAAACCTTTTTCAAAGAATGTAACACATGAGCTAAAATGGAAGGAAAGTATTCCAAGAAGCTACTTTTTAGGGATTCTTCCAACCCAGATACATTATAGAGAATCAGAGATGAGAATTTTATTCATTTTTGTAGTTTTCCGATCTTTTATATATATATATAGTCCAAGTTTCGATCTTATATAGATAGCTGGATTAGTGAAAGGATCTTATTCTTCTCTTTGTCCTTTCTTTACAAAGTTCATGTTATATTTTGTCCGTTAGAGTTACATAAGTGGATATTAGTGTTGGGATTGGAGGTAGGTGAATTGGAAATGGAGGGAAGAAATGTGAAGGGAAAGTGAGTTGTTTCTTTATACTTTGGAAAGATCAATTATCCCTTAGTGGTAGAAGAGAATGTGCTTATATTATGAAACTACTTCCCTCGGTGTTTAATGGGTTGGAAAGAAGGTAAGTCCTCGCGCCGTTGTTGTCGTCTCTCGGCTCCGGTCAAAGATTGATTGATTGATTAATTTTTTGGACAAACTTTCTTTTAATTATTTAATTAATTATCAAAAATATTCTTTTCCCAAATAATTTTAAATTCTTTTTCCGGATTATTTTAAATATTCCCGCCTGTTCCAACAGCCATGGCTATTTCTGAAAGGTTGCAAATTTTCAGAAACAATGCCAAAAAATGGCTATAAATTCGCTTGATCCCAGAATTTTTCCTTACGCAATTTTCTGAACTTCTTCTTCTTCTACACAAATAAAATCCAGTGTGATTTACAGCCATTGAGTGGTTCGCAGTTCACCAACATTTTAGGTACCGATACTCTAGTAAGCCAAATCGTTCTATCCTGGGAGGATAATATTCCAACACCTCGGGTACTTGAGCGGAATAATTTTCTTAAGTACACACTGTACATTTAGTGGGCTCGATTTCATTCCGAAATTTATTTACAAATTCTGTTTTGTGATACTTTTGTTTTTCCTGTTTTTGTTTTTTGTTACAAGAAATTTATTGTTTCAAATATTATAGCTAATACATATTGGTAACAATCTTAAGGAAATTATTTAATACTTTAATATGTATTCTATTTTCTGGAGATTAAAACCTTTGTGGTTTTCTACTCCTTCTGAATTTTTCTATTTCTGATTTGAAAATATAAAAACTTCATCGGAGTATTAAACTTCATAGTTCAGAAACAATTTGAAGAACATAAAATCCAGTGTGATTTATAGCCATTGAGTCGTTTGCAGTTCACCAACGTTTTAGGTACCGATACTCTGGTGAGTCAAATCGTTCTATCCTGGGAGGATAATATTCCAATACCTCGGGTACTTGAGAGGAATAATTTTCTTAAGGACACGCTGTGCATTTAGTGGGCTCGATTTCATTTCGAAATTTATTTACAGATTATGTTTTCTGTTTCTTCTGTTTTTCCTGTTTCCGTTTTTTGTTACATGAAATTTACTATTTCAAATATTATAGCTAATACAAATTGGTAACAATCTTAAGGAAATTATTTTATACTTTAATATGTATTCTATTTTCTGGAGATTAAAACCTTTGTGGTTTTCTACTCTTTCTGAATTTTTCTATTTCTAATTTGAAGATATAAAAACTTCATCGGAGTATTAAATTGCATAGTTTAGAAACGATTTTAAGAACATAAAAACTTCATCATTTCTGGTGAAACGGTATATAAAAACTTCGATTTTTGTTTATTAAAAGTAATGTTTATTATTAATTACAATGATGTTTACTGTTTATTTTTTTTGCCATTAATTGAACTGTTCTATTGTTGACAGTGAGAAATGACAATTGATAATGGAACTCCTTCTGCGACTGTTGCGGCAACGACAATAGCCTCGTCAAGCCGAACTGTTGTGCCACCGGTCGAAAAAGTAAGGAATGCTTTCTGGAGCCAACTTCAAATGACGACAGCAAAGGATGTTCTTTTGGCTTTTCCACGCGTGTTATGCTGAAGTTCACCAATGAAGACCTTCCAGTGCCTGCCGTCGACATGCCAAACATTGAAACGTTTATGATTGTTGAGGCGTGAAAACAAGTAGATTTTCTTTGCAAAGGATACATCATAAGTGCTTTGGAGGATGATTTGTACAATGTCTACAATGCTATGAATGCTTCAAAAGAATTGTGGGATGCACTTGAGAAGAAGTACAAAACTGGAGATGCATGCTTGAAAAAGTTTATGGTTGCCAAGTTTCTAGACTATAAAATGATAGACAAAAAAACTGTTGGAACCCAAGTTCAAGAGCTTCAACTTATTTTTCACGACCTTATTGCTGAAGGTATTGTAGTGAATGAAGCATTTCAAGTGGATGCACTGATTGAAAAGTTTCCTCCTTCGTGGAGAGATTTCAAAAATTATCTAAAACACAAGAGCAAAGAAATGAAGTTGGAAGATCTTGTGATTCGTCTCAAGATTGAGGAAGATAACAAAATAGCCGAGAAGAAGTCACGTGGAAATTCAACAATTATGGGAGTGAATATCTATAATGACCCGACTTGTCGTTTTAAGAATTTAAGCCTCGTCTGGCGGCATAAAGCCCTGAGAAGTTTCTTATTATGTGTATTGACTTGCGTGTGTGGTTGAATTCAGTTATCGGATGATTTGGAGTGATTTGGGACACTTGGTCCCCAAAATGGAAGCTTAAGTCTTAGAATTTTACCGTAGTAGGAACTGTATGAAGACGACCCCGGAATAGAATTTTGATGATGTCAATAGCTCCGTATGGTGATTTTGGACTTAGGAGCGTGTCCGAAAAATTATTTGGAGGTCCATAGTGCAATTAGGCTTGAAATGCCGAAAGTTGAATTCTTGGGAAGTTTGACCGAGGGGTTGACTTTTTGATATCGAGGCCGGAATTCGATTCTGGAAATTGGAATAGCTTTGTTATGTCATTTATGACTCGTGTGCAAAATTTGAAGTCATTCCGGATGGATTTGATGTATTTCGGCACAAGATATAAAATTTGAAAGTTTAAAGTTCATTAGGCTTGAATTGAGGTGTGATTCATGATTTTAGTATTGTTTGATGTGATTCTCTTTGACTAAGTTCGTATGATGTTTTAGGACTTGTTAGTATATTTGGTTGAGGTCCCGAGGGGCTCGAGTGAGTTTCGGGGTGGTTACGAACCATTTCTAGGCCATTTTTAATTGTTGGTTTCTGCCTACAGAGGTGTACATCGCGATCGCGAACTTTTGGTCGCGTTCGCGAAGATCAAACAGCAGCTTGGGGCCTTGTGAATCGCGATCGTGGAAGCTCTGTCTGGGAAGAGTTTGGAAATCTCTATTGCACAGGGCTGACTTTGGAAGCTTATATCTAGAAATTTATAAGGAATTAGGAGATGAGCAACACATGAAAGTTATAGCCCTTGGTGTCTAGTTTTCAGAAAGTTACACCATTTGCAATTTGAAGTTTTGTACAAAAAGTTATGACCATTATACTAGAGGCTGTCTGGAAGAGTTGTGGGAGTTTGTTCTTCGCGATCGCGATTGGTTTTCCACGATCGCGAAGAGTAAATACCTGGGCAGTAACTATATTTTGAGGTTTCAGTCATTTTTGACATATTTGGAGCTATGGAGCTCGGATTGAAGCGATTTTTGAGGGATTTTCACCATATGGATTAGGGTAAGTGTTCTATATCCTAAAGTGTTTATATTTCATGAATCTATGATTATATTCATCGTTTAATTCGGATTTTAATGGAAGAAATCAAGATTTTTGTAAAATCTTCCAAAAACGAAAATTTAAGATTTGGAGGTCGAGTTGTTATTGGAATTCAATAAAATTGGTATGGTTGAACTCGTATCGGAATGGGTGTTCGGATTTCATGAAAATTATGTCGGGTTCCGAGGGACGGGTCCTGCATTGACTTTTGTTGACTTTTTGGAATAAATTTTTAAGTCAACGTATTATTATCTAGAATTATTTTCGACGAATTTTAATGGTGTTATACAATTAATTTGGATAGATTTGAGATGTTCGGAGGTCAATTCAAGCAAGAATGCTATTTTGGAATGTCGGCCTAACTTCAAAAAGGTAAGTGTCTTGCTTAGCCTCGAGTGGGGGAATTACCCCTTAGGCATTGAGTTTTATGTGTCATTTGTGAAATGTGAAAAGTCATGTACGCGAGGTGAGGAGTACGTACTCCGGCTTATACGTGCAAAAATTCATTGAATTAAAGTCTTAGGCATTATTGTGTAGTAAATTGGAAAATTGTGGAAAATTATTAAATCATCTGTTTGCCATGCCTAAATCCTTAT